CCCCCCCCCCCCCCCCCCCCCCCCCGAAATGAAATCTTAGATACGGCCCTGATCAGTACTAACTATGAACGGGTGGCAACCCTAATCATCAATTGTACCCGTGCAAAGTTCAGACACCCTTTGTCAAGGTTAGCCTCAACAGCTTTACGACCTTATCGATGATCTACGCAGTCTAGCTATGCTTCTACCAGAGCCACTTGGTGTTCTTGGAACTCCGAAATTCATTCACAAGAGCCCATGTATTCCAACGTGTCTATCTATCTTAGAGTGCTACTCACAGCTCCAGTGAGAGTTGTATCTCCAGAGAGATTCATCTCAGAAAATTCCTCTCTTTTCCTTAAATATAATGTACTGATTTTCATTTTTTTTCCTAATATAACTTCGATAATCGAAAATGAAGTGAGGGCAAATCTTTGGAGCCCAGAGGTGGCTCAACGTATTGGCCGCAGGGGGCCCCGCATTTTCCCGCGCCGGACCTGTCCGGAGCAACCAATCAACTGGTCAAATTCATACTGATCTACGGCGATTTTTAAAAGTGACCTAATACTGCATGCCTCCTTAAAATTTCTCTAACGTAAACGTATAGTCGATCCAATATACAGGGTGGTTGAAAAGTAACTCCCTATTGAAAATTGCTTATAACTTTTGTAAATAGTACTGCATTTGCATGAAACAAAATGTATTGTGATCCTTGCAGTGGTAGAATTTAATTGATGATCTCTGAAGCCATGAGGCTTGACAATTCCTTCGTTCACCTCGAAGGTTTGCTGTGTTTGGCATATGTAAATTGTCCAGGAACATCAAATGTAATTGCTAGTCAAATGAAATCGAAGAAAACCCTTGAAGGGATTATATTGACTCAAGTGACCCTTATTCGCGAAAGTGCAGCCTCTAAATGTCTAAAAATCGCCTCCATCCTCCATGAATCAATGAGGCGCGTTGGGAGCACCCCAGGTAACATCTTTCCTACTGGGCGCGTCCATGGATATAGTACTATGGGTTCCCTCCCCACAGCCCAATAAACGCGACGTGCAAGAGAACTCCCCTTTCTTCTGGTCGTTATTTTCTCTAAATCTTCGCGTGTGCGTGGATGTCCTAGTGTATGCCTCGTTCTTCACCGGTTCACGTTATGATTATATTAAGAACAGTGCGTTCGCATTTCGGCCTCCTCTCTTCCCTGATCAATCCCGATGGAAGCTCGTGATGAATGCATATGTGCCTCCATGATATCCATCCTCTTTTTGTTTGTCCGACTAATATATAAATACAGATCTAGGAAGACATACCGTCTGCGAGAGATAATGTTGGCAAAAGCGAATTCGACGAGGGTAAGAAAGATGAAGGCGATGCAGACAAAGAACCAGATTTCCACGGCCCTCAAATATGACAGTTTAGGCAGTTCGTCGCCTATATTCCTTGACAGGGTGATGAAGGTCAGCATCGTGCTCGTTCCTGTTTCAACGTAAAATCAAAATAAAGAGTAAAGATGGATCTTTCTCCTTCGGAGGAAGTTAGATGGAGAATTGACTTTATTTAGTTCCAGACCGACCGAGAGCGACGCGGGCAGGAGAAGCATTGGGATCCAACCAGAAGGAGACCCATGACACGACGACCAGGAAGATGGAGGGTACATAATAATCCAGGATGTAATGTCCAGGGTCCCTCTTGATCCTGAATCTCACTGTGATGGCACTAAATCGTTTTCCTGTCATGAGAACAGTTCCCCTTGTGGTAAGGTTTTCTTTTTAATACTTTCTTTATATGAAGGACATCCAATAAATAAGAGAACAATCGGATACAGAAATAAACACATTATTGAATGGATAGGTTCTCGTCATCCCGATTGTGCTAACTATTGGCTATTTGAAATCGTTAAACTGCTTCATGGGTTTACGTTGGGGTATTAGTTTTCCAGAGAAAGAGGAAAGTGGGGATTAAACAACTGCTACCAGTGATGCCATGGAAGTCCCGGAACTCTTCCTCAAAGCATTCGTGGCTGTGGAAGGTTTGTTCGGAAGCAATCAAATCCTCCTCTCGGGCGATGCAATCCACGGGATTCTCCCATTGTAGCCTCCCCTTGGGAATGGGAATGTCCCACGATGCGATTGTCATGTTGCAAGTCTGTTCATCGAACGGGAATCTCTTCAGGTCCATCAAGCAGAAAAACCTCACCTTCGCTCTATAGAAATTCAATGAAGGAAACAACCAAAATATTATTTATATTTGCAAGAGAACATGATATTTTCAGTCGAACATGATTTTTCCCTCTCAAATCGAAAAAATAACCTTAATGCATACTCATAACACCGAAAGAAATTTATATATACGAGGGTGGTTCAATACTTAACTGCACTTTTCATTCTAGAAAATCGAAGGTACATATGATCTCTATAAAACTACTCCTCCTCGAGGTGTTCCCCTCCTACACGGACGTACTCGTCACATCGATATGGCAACGCCTCAATGCCAGAGGCATTTGAATGTTTGTAGTCGAATGCACAGCCACTTCACCATTTCATCACTCTGGATTTCTTCGACCGAAGCGATGCGGAATCTCGCCATTGCATGCTTGAGCTTTTCATAATGGCGTTAAGTTATGAATCCACGTTTCATCCCTCGTCAAAATGCTGCTGAGGACGTTGCCCTTCTCTTCGTCGTAGCGGTTGAGACGGTCCGACGCGGCGGTCACTCGGTTAACCTTCTGGTCGAATATCAGTTCTCTTGACACCCATCTCGCAGTAACCTCTTTGAACTTAAAGTGTTTTAAAGATAGTGTTTTCGACACTCCCAATTTCGATGTTAAGGTCCGCTGCAAAATCTTGGACAGTAATGTGGCGATTCTCCAGAATAAACTGTTCAATTTCTTATTTGGAAGATAAGTACAATTGTACATAAGCAAAAATGACAGAACTTTCCCACAAACCCAATATTTGAGTTATTGACAATTAAGTTGAAGGATGAATGAAGACGTTTATCGACGTGATTGGCACTGGCAACTCACGCTCCGTGAAGGCATCAGTCGACGTCTCAGGCAGTGAATGTGCCTTACCTCACTCGTCTTGAAGCTCTCAGAGACGCAAATGGAAGGGAGGAAGGGGGAGAGGGTGCTTACAAATGACTAAAGATTCGATTTGGAAATGACAGCTCTTTCTAAGAATTTTTTCTTGTCCCTATAGTTTAAATTATGGATGGAAGAGGGAGGGGGCCATCTATGTGCAACACAGTAAATCTCAAGCGTCACACGCAAAAGACGTTTTACTAAACGGCCTTTACACCAAAAGCGTTTTCTTTGACACTAATGCATGTTCCTTCCTGTCACTTTCTTTATCATTGTTTTTCGCCATCTGGTTAATTTGATGAACCGACTTTTGGCGATAACTCGCTGACCCGCAAAACACTTGTAAAGCAGGATCTAACTCGCCTGTAGGTTAGGGTGACCGTGCCATTCTTGGAGATGGCGACGAAGACGTTCCTCTTGCTGAGTTGGAAGACATTCGAATCTTTTTCATTCACGAAAAAGAGAGTCGGGGACCAGATGAGGTTGTAGAGCCATTCGCTCCCTGATAGATATTCGTCCTCGAGGTACCACGTGTTTTTATTCTCGAAATTCAGTCTCTTGTCTTGCCACACGTGTCGAAGCATGAGGTACACCGAGAAATCCTATTTCGTTCAGAGGGATATCAGTGTCAAACGATGACGTAGTCATGCACTCAGAGCCACAGGGATGGTGCGCAATGAAGTTGTAGTGTTTCCGAGAAAGATACGTTCCAAAAAGGTCTTGTACGTGGCAAAAGACTTACTCCACTATTTGCAGGGCCAAATCATAAAGGGGAGGTAAGCTCCTCTCGCTTGAAAACTAACATCAACCAGCAGTCATTAGTGTTTGGGGAGAGTCTCTTTCAGCTCCACGTGCAAAAGATCGACATCTATGTGATATCCCTGAATTTAGATGGAGTTTAAATTTAGCAAGTAAAGGCCAAGGGAGAAGTCGGAAAGATAGAGGATCATTCAAATCCGATTCCTTGAGGAAATCACTGGCAAGAGAAGGCAGCTAAACATGACTCGACAAAGCAATAGGGACTGTATGATGACAAAGTTCTTAATCCTAACAATGACACGCAATGTAAAGCGATGCCCCGGAATAAAATAGGAAACTCGTAAGGCCAGCAAGGCAGACAGCCACGGCACAAGGCAAGCCCGGACATTCGTAAGTGTGATGAAGGTTGGATGAAAGTCCAGCAGACCGACTGATCAGAGTAAAAACTTCAGCAATTCAGTAATCAGTCGAGCCGACCGAAACCCTTTCATGTACAGTACTCGATGTAATGAAGTAATGTGAATTTCTTTTCAAATGGCTTTCCCTTTCTACCACCCTCCCCCTCCAACCCTTCTCTACGGGACTCACTAACGTTGGGCCTAGGTCTAACCGACGGACTGTCTCCAGGTCAGGCATAGGCCAATCTTCTTTCGTTTAAAAGAATCTCAATACTCGACTTAGGCCTATAAGGGTCTTCGAGACATCTTGTTGAGGACATGTAACGTTAGGCCGATCGCAGTCCTATTCAGACTTTCATGAACATTTCAGAGTGGACGTGCAACGTTAGGCCAATCTGGAGTTCCTCGAACCATCTCCACAGTCTGGGGAGAGAATGCTCCGGGATTGAAATGCATGGTAGGCGCCATCCTGCCAATTCAGGGATGTCCGTGAAAGTTATCTCAATATTCCAGCACATGGATAGGCCACTGCCAATCACCGTTTCAGTCTCAGCTCATCTTATGAACTCAGCACAAAAATGTCTCACAAATGAAAAAAAGAAGACAAAACTGAAGATCCAGACACCGACACGAAAGCCAAAGTGGTCATTAACTCGACATAACTCCAGCATAACATTTGGCAATCCTGGAGGATGGGACTCCAGCCCACGCGCAAAGTCAAAATAAAAGACAGCTGATTTCATTTTTCATGGCGAAATGGTTCATTACAAGCAACAAATAGAGCATTTTTTGCTACCTATAAGTCAACATCTTTCTTTTGGCTGGATTGCCTCCTTTAACCCCCCCCCCCCCTTCTCAGGAGTGATTGGCTACTGATTGGTTACTCCTCAGCAGAGTTAAACAAATTTTCTTTATTTCTCATGATTACGCAATACGGAAGGCTGCCCAACTTTATTTGACCATTTTCAAAATGCATTTACTTATATGGGAAAGGATAAATGGCTTTCATGTGACGTGTGATTCTTGGGGAAGAACTCAACCTTTGCTATGTGAAATAAGGGGATATCGCGTTGACACTTAATGATCCCTGTTGATTGCGTAGAAGAGATGCGCACGAAACACCTGTCCATGAAAGGTTACTCACGCAAAATGATAATTCGTGTTTTTTGAAAGGGTGGTGTGTTTCCAAAGGAACAATCTCAAACATCCTTTTCAATGGAGAGGCGTGAATTTCAGACATAAAGCCTAACCCAAGACCATTAGGCAACGAGAAGCTTTTGTCGGAAGTGATTCATTTCGCGAAAAGGAAAAATCCACCCAGCAAGACATAACTTGCATGTAGACTGCCGGTGTCCAAGGGAACTTTCGGCAGGGTCATTCATGAGGACCTCAAAATGTAAGGAAAACACAAAATGAAAGTCCATGCCCTCAGCCTAAAACACATCAGGGTGAGAAAATACGAATAGCTGAAAATTCTGCGAGCGCCACATGGCTGGCGAAAGGTAAAATGTATATTATGACGCTCTATGAAACTTGGTGGCATCTTCCCGTTTATGGAGAGAACCTATCTAAATTTACTGCCGAAATCAATTTTTACTATTTTTTTATTATCCAAACAAGGTTTGGATAACTGTGCGTTTGGGTTGCTGAAGCGTGCCCTGGTGAATCAGAACCGCAACATTTAGGGTGGACTTTTAGAATTTCAGAGAAGAATGGGAGAAGTTGGGAATCTTTGCGCTCTGTAAAGCTCTGGCAACGTAGAAATTGAGATGTAGAGCGATTCTCAAAAATCGATGTTACGAGATGAAGCATGAAAATTTCTGGAGAAAAGTAGAAAAAAGTATTATATTCTGAATTGACAAATTGGTCGAATAAAGCTGGGCAACATGTATCAATAGGGGAGGCAGCGCCTATTATCTATACCTTTCTTCAACACCTTCCTGTAGCAAAATTCACATTCCTCGTATTCTTCTCTGAGAGCATCAATAGGAACGAAATTTGGCTTATTTCTTCCTTTCTCACCACAGAATCGCTCCAGCAAAATTTGAAGCTCCATCTCCGGGGAGTTGTGGAGAACACTGAATCTCGTTCTTGGAGGATGTGAATTTCATTCATTTTTTTTCTTTCTCCCCCTGGATAGCCACTCCGGGGGGGGGGTTTCGGAATGAATGAGACCCAAACAAACGAAATATATTGACATTTAAGTGACAAAAGGTGTCCTTTTTGTTGCTTCCAGTGCCCCATTTCGCCATAAAAAATGAAATTAGCTGTCGTTCAATTAGGCTTAGAGCGCTTGCAACGGTACCGTCCCCCAGTGTTGCCAGATAACGAGCCGAAATTATGCCAGATTCAAGAATCTGTCAACCTTCGTATTGGCATCTGGATCTTGTTTTTTAATGTATGAGACATTTTTGTGCTGAGTTCAGGAGGTGAGTTGAGGATGAAGCTGTGGTTAGCTGTTATTGACCGATGTGGTGGGATATGCAGATATCCCACCTCATCCGGTTACCCCTGAATTAACAGGATGGCGCGTACCATGAATTTCATGCTTCTTGAAGGTATTCTCTCCTCAGACCTATTCGAGGAACTCCAGATAGGCCGAACGTTCCGCGGCCCACTGAAATGGTTCATGAAACGCGAAACAGGCCTCCAATCGGCCTAACGTTACACATCCACTCTGAAATGGTTCATGAACGTATGAATAGGCCTGCGATTGGCCTAACGTTACACGTACTCAACCTCAAGATGTCTCGAAGACCAAGATTCACACTTATTGGCCCAACTGGCACCGTAAGTCGAGAATTGAGTTTAGATCCCCCCGTAGAGAGGCGGGGGGACATTGAAGAAAGTGAAAGCAATTGAAAATTGGTTTTCACATTACTTCACATCCCTATTTTTTGGCACCAAGCGCACCAACTCATCATTCATTGGAAATAGGAACGGATTGACTCACGGATGATTGAGCAGAGATTGATTCGATGTGATGAAGTGTTATGCTTGTAGTAATGTTGATCTCGGGCTGATATTTCGGAGGAGGCAGTTCCTTGACGTATACCGAGGGATCGGTCAACTCTGCGGCTAGGTTTACGGTGTAGATACTGGTGGATAGTGGCCCCGTTATGTTTGTGGCATCCGGGGTGGTTTCCATCGGGCCATCTGTGGTAGCTATCTCCTCCGAATTCCCTTCACTCCATGATTGTGAAAGCCCCAATGCTGCTCCATCCACTCTCACCAAAAAACTGCCCCACAAACAATTGCCCCCTGCTACATATATATAGAAATTAGCTGCGTTCAATTAGGCTAAGAGTGCTTGCTCAGGTGCCGTCCCCCAGTGTTGCCGGATACCGTGCCGAAATTATGCCAGATTCAAGACTGTTTCAACCTTCGTATTGGCTCCTGGGTCTTCTGTTTTTCTTTTTCTTTATCTATTAGACATTTTTGTGCTGAGTTCATGAGGTGAGTTGAGAATGAAGTGGTGGTTAGCAGTTATTGATCGACGTGGTGGGATATGCAGATATCTTATCCAGATACCCCTGAATTAATATGGTGGGCGCGTACTATGGATTCCATGCTTCTTGAAGGCCCTCCTCAAGCCTACCTCCCCTTACGAAAATGTCCTATAGGAAATCTATAGTTATTTCTTATAGGAAACCAATAGATTTTCCTATAGGTTTTTGAAACACGAAAAACCTATAGGATCCTTTAGGATCCTATAGGATCCCTATAGGGTCTCATAAGTCTCCTGACCTATATGATTCGGGGAGGATATTTTGGGTTTCGAAACCCAGGCATTACGACGGAAAAGTCGACCGGAGATAATATTGGCGCAGCATTTCGGGGTAAATAAAAAAAAACAATTAAAGATTTTTCCTTGGTTGAGACACATCCATTATTAATACCAGTAGTGCGGGGGTCTCCATATTTTTGGCCCCGTCAAACATGTGCCGCTGGATTGCACATCTGTTTCCTTCGGTAGGAAGAAGTGGCATTCTTCTCTCGACCTAAGGAAACAGAAGACAGAACCAGCGAGCACGTCTCTTTACTGAAACTCCACTTGGATAGAGTCTACTTGGTTTCGTACGTGGTCTTCAAAAGGAATAAGGGCATATTTCTTCAAGGGACTCCATGATTATATCTGGAAGATGGGGATGACAAATAAGGAACTGTCAGAGTTAATCGATTGCTACAAAGAGGCAAGGCGAGGCATTAGGGGATGTACAAAACTCTCTGTGAGAGATGATTCCTTGGGTAAGGGGAGGGCCCTTTAGTGCCTTTTGAGAAATGTGAGAACCCAATACTTCCATCTAGTGGCCTAGGGGAGAACTTCCAACGGAACCCTATAGGCCTATAGGGTTCCGTGTAAGCCTTATAGGGAACCTTATAGGTCCTATAGGTCTTATATGGAACCCTATATGTCCTATAGGGAACCCTATAGGTCCTATAGAGAATCCTATAGGTCCTATATCGAACCCTACAGGTCCTATAGGGAACCCTATAGGTTTTATAGGGAACCATACGGGTCCTATACAGAACCCTTTGGGTCCTATAGGGAACCTATAGGCCTTATGGGGAACCCTATAGGTTCTATAGGGGGATCAATAGGTTCTATAGGGAACTCTATAGGTCCCAAACTGAACTCTATAGGGCATATATGATCCTAGAGGATTCCTTTAGGTTCCTTTAGGATTCCTATAGGATTCCTATAGGATTCCTATAGGATTCCTATATATTCCTAAAGGAATATATAGGAATCCTTTAAGACATTTTCGTAAGGGNTTTTGCAGCCTGAGATCCTACATGAAAGGAAGCTGACAATACCAATGTCAGTGCGGTGCTGGATGTGTCCATATTACCCCAAATCGGGGTGGCCATATTACCCCATATTGGCTTGCATGACAAAATTGACAACACTGTATGTGCACTGCAAGTGAAGGGGCTAGCACTTTCCACAAGCATTCAGGAGGAACCATAGCATAACTTTGAACAAATGGATTTTGTATCCATGCTGCTATTAGGAAATATACGCTTAAGTGGCACAAGGCCCATATTAGTTTCAGGGCCGTGAGTTGAAGAATCGCATGCATATGACTAGAACAAATCTATGTATCCCGAATTCCAGGGAGAACTGGATCAATGAACAGGTCTAAACATTTCGACAATTTCATGGACTCTTTGATAGAACTATTTTCAAAATTCGCCCAAACTAATTATTCATTCTGTTAAGGGATTCATTGTGAGGGGCCATATTACCCCAATGGCCATATTCCCCCAAGTTACCCTATATCTTCCCTCTCAGAGGAGCTAATTACTCGAAGCTTTCATATTGCATGTATCAGTATGTTTCCAATTGATACTTCAAATTTCACCCAAATTTGTTGAGATGAAGCAATTCTATCAGCAATTATTGAATAGAAGTTAGACATTGAGAATGGACGAGAGCTCCTGCTTTGCCGCCTCCTAGGGACGGGCACGAGTGTGTCATCCGCTCCACTTGGAAGGAAGATATATAGGTTGAAGTCGTTGATCCTTTTTCCCCCATATCCTATGCACTGAGGACCTACGTATGGAGTGTGGCACTGTACGGATGTGAATCATGGACAATAGGGACAGCAGAGAAGAGGAATTTGGAGGCGATGGAAATGTGGTGCTTCAGAAGGATGCTGAAGATTCCCTGTGAGGACAGAATAACAAATGAATTGGTACTCGGAAGAGCACACGAAAAGAGAAGGATATGGAAAATTATAGAGCAAAAAAGAGATCGACTGATGGGACACACGTCGAGACATGAAGGGATGATGAAGACCATAATAGAGGGGTGATGGAAAGAATTATAAATACCTTGACTAGGGTATATACGACACATCATACAAGATGTGAGTTGCAGCTACTACAGAGAAATGAAACGAATGGCAGAGCGAAGAGAGAAATGAAGAGCTGCGACAAACCAATCTAAGGGTTGATTTGATGATACCCTGTACACTTCTTGTGTATACTCTTTACAAAACTAATAGTTTCATCTGTTTCAAGGCTGTGGGATGAATATATTCAGAGAAAGCTTGCTGTACACTCCAATTTCAATAGCAGCTAAGGAATCATGCTATTCGCTCATAATGGTCACCCAGAAGGGTTTTCTTGATGGTACGTAGTTTGTAAACTTCTAAGGATGTGTAGAAAAATCAAAGTTTCAAGGTCATGGGATAAATCAATACAGAGAAGTTTAATTTAATTGCACAAAAGAGTTCCGCACAAAAAAAACAACGCACCCACCCTACTACAGCCGTGGAGAAACTCGCCTGTCGAGCGGTTAAAAGTATAATGAAGTTCTTATGGCCTGGCCTATGGCCTAGATTGGCATAGCCTTGTATTCTTAATGAGCTGGGCCTACAATGCATCGCCACTCTAGGCCGTAGGCTTATAGCCGACAATGACATATCTCTAGTCAGGAAAAGATGGTTACCCGATTGACAAGAGAGGAACGACGGAACGGAAAAAATGTGTACCCACTGAGCTAAGAAAAACAACTAGAGATGGTGCACAGCAGAATGGGCTGCCTGCATTTAGAAACAATTTTTGTTGGTGTCAGCGGCTCTTCTCCATTCACTGTAAAGTAATTTTCCCAATTTCCCTTCTAGTTTTCTTACTGTCCATGACATAATAGAAGGCAGTCACGGTACTGGCGGTTTAATAATTCCTGGGAGAGATTCATAGGGTTGATGAGGTCTTGTTAGACCTGGTCTAGTTTTAGGTAGTACGAATTTTTCGGAAGAAGGAACTTGTACATTACATGTCTCTACTGGGTATAGTTGGTCTATTCTTGTCACAGCCAGCGACGAAGTCGGGAATTCGCCAATGGAGGGCTAAGGGAAACGAACGGGGACTAGAATTTCCTAAACTTCTCTGGATGGGTGGAGGCGATGGATGAATTTAGAGCAGAGCTAGGGAGCTTCACCTCATCCCCCCCTCCCCTCTCGCTACGCTGCTGGTCGGACTTCATAACTGCATAAAATATCCATCGGTAGCTCATAAAGAAAGCACATTTTCCTGGAAAGCCATAATTTTTTCAATAAAAATGGGCAAAATGTGCATAAACATGTACATATATATTTTTTTTCTCATGCAGAGAAAAACGTTAAAATATGCATTTTTATGCGTTTTTAAAACGGCCCCAAATGGCTTCCTCTACCAATGAGACATGATCTTATCTGGGTTGCATGTTCATAGGAGGCTGCAGAAAAAATATGCATTTGCATAAAAATCGCTCCCTAGTTATCACCCACTAATAATCTCGTAATGAACTTGTCGCGAAATATTTTCAGCCAACAGAAATATTGACTCCGTCACCAGATCACAATGAATCTTCACCAAATTCCAATTTTTGATTTAATCAAATATGATTGAACCATCACTGGTGCTGGTATCACCAAACTTGCATTAGCCTGTACAAAATATATGCTCTCATCATTAAGCTGATGAATTTTTCAACATTTGCACCCCAATCAAAAAAGGATTATTATTCACTCATTATTATTATTCATTATTCAATGATGGCAAGATGAGACGGTAAGATCACATCATACTTCGGGGGCCTTTGGGGGAGGACCTGTGCAACTAATCTTCTTGCGCTCGTGAACATGTATGGGAGATGAGTATGGCGCTGACTACGGGAATGCCACAAGGGAAGAGCTCCCTTGGTAAGCACTCTTGATAGCTCCTCTAACTGAATCTCCAAAAAAGTAGGAGTAATAGCAGCCATATAACCACATAAGCAACTTGAGAGTTTTAACGCTAAGATGGCTGATATTAAAGATCAATGTAGGCCTGAGCAATCGTCCAAGGGTTGGATATAATAAGCTTGCTGAATCATTCCCAATAGGGCAAGTACCGCCAAAGTCGAATTGTATCTGTAATATGCAAGCCAACAGCTACTTATTTTCCATCCCGTTTCCTTTGAGGAGGAGTGTGCATGAGAGTAGTATTGGCCTTAGCGTCCATCCATGGGGTATGCCTAGGCCTGCGAAATTTGTCCCCAGGGCGTGTACACCCCCCCCCCCTCCTCCCTCCCTCCCTCTGAAGTCCGAATTCCTCTAGAGTGAACAACGTAGCAATAACACACTTCCTTCAACGAATGAGGAGGAAGGAACGTGTTCATGAGAAAGGCGTAAGCCTACACCTCCATTTGGGGGGAGGGGCTAGGAAGCAGACACATTAGCTCATTACTTCTGAGTTTCAAGGCGATGATTCC